GATTTTGAAGAAGAATATGGTGAAAGATTAAATTAAAAATACTAAGGACAAGACTACGATTTTTATTAAATTATTAATAAAATCGTATTAGGGTGGCATGTCCCAGTTCAGGGTTATAGGCTTTAGGGAGGTTTTTGGATTAGGTGGGGCGTTAGGCTTTGGGAGGTTGTAGGCTTTATCATTTCCCAGTTCATCGTTAGGATATTGGTTATAGAATGGGTAAGGTAAAGGTTTTGGGTGATTGTTAGGGTTTAGGGGTTTCGGAATAAGGTTTGGAATAGCAGGTGGCTTCAGAAATGGTGTAAAAGCGTAGGGAGGGGGTATGGGGGTGTGTGGTGATATGAACTGGGAAATGACCCTCCCTTGCTTTCAGGATCAGGAGGGGTGGGCTCTTGCCGCTGATTTTGAAACTGAAGGGAGCTGCCCAATAGCCTTGATTCAGCTCCCACCTGGTCCCCGGCGAAATCCGAACCCGAAATCCACTGAAGTGCGAAGGTCGCCGGGAGCCGCGCTGCTGTCGAGTCCTTCGTGGAGAAGTCGCTCGCAGCCGGTGCACTGTCGTCCCGGCATAGCTTGCAAGACACGGACGATCAACGGTCCCAGAAAATCTCTTTCTGCCGTTGTCGAGTCATGCTGTTCAGTCAAGGCTTGAGCGATTCAACTCCATGCTTTAGACTGTAAGCATTTGCGGCAGCAGTGTTTGGAGGACCTATGCTTCGGCCATCCCATCTTTCTAGTATTCCCCATGCTGTGGAAACTTAGGAAGCAGGCCCATGCTGGAAGCCTCTGCCGTGACCTGCTACAACCTCCTATAGCAACCCGTTTGAGTCCAGCCAGGCAGTGTTCCCTGCTGAAAAACTCCGGCGCTTTCCACACGCCGGAGATGTTGGATGCACCGCACTCAGTCAAGCACATGTTCACCTTGGAACAGTTGCATGTCGCTTCACTTGCCACGACAAGGTAATCTCAGGAGGGTGGGTGATGCTACGTAAGTTGAAAAATGGAGCTAGCGGAACATGCCCAGTCAAGCTACGTCAAGCTCCAGCGGCCCATGGGCCCATGGGCCGATAGTTTGACTCTTTGCACGGCGTCGTGCCTAGAATAGCTCCTTAATAGCTTTGGGTACAGTCACCAGCTTTGCTTCGCACCTTGGCAAACTGTCTGAGACTGTCTGTGTGTGTGTGTGTATGTACAAGAGTAGATCTGCTCTCGGAACCTTCTTTCCCCACACTCCCGACCTCCCTCCATGTCACCTGAGAGCACAATCCCACAATGGTCTGAAGTCACACAGGTTCGCAACATCGTGGTTAAAGAGCTGGAGGCAGAGCCCCTGCCCTTGTTCCTGAGACGGCTGCCTGTAGTTCTCGCAGCTGAGCATCAGAAGGTTCAGATGACAATTGGAAGCCCACTGCACTCACGGACCCCGATCCTTTGCCATAGCTTGTCGAAGAGAAACTCTGTCGCGATATGTCCATATCCTTTCTAGCAGCCGTCGGGCGGCAGCTTCTAGCGGATCTTATGTGCAAGTTTTGCACTATCGCTTGCAGCGGCACCTGCAGCTCACCGAACTGCGAGCTTGCCTGCGCAGGCTGCCAAGGCCAGCATGAAGCCTCCTCGCTGTACTGCCTGGTCCTCAGACTTGAGCGGGTTGACTTGGTGATGAGGCCGTTTTCTTCTGAACGTGCTTACAGTCGTGGCTGCAGTCAGCCGCGACCCCACTCAGGTTCAGTTTATGTCGTAGCAGGTCAACCGATCAGGGGGTACAGCAGACAGACGGGAGGAAGCATGGGTCGGAGTCTGATTCAGGGACCAAGGATGTCAAGAGATTGGGACCTAGGTCTATGCGAATGCAACGGCGAAAGCGATTGGGCCGGACACACCCATTCAGGATCTCCTCTCGGAAAGGGCTTCCAGTCTGGCACCACCAGACATTCTGGGGTTCCATCGCTTGTTCACCCTCGTCGTCGTTGAATGTGAGCTGATGTGAATCACAGCTGTGGTTGTGGTTTTAATCGTTGTCGTTGTGTTTTTGTGTTTTGGGCATCAACGTTATTCTTGCTGACGCTGTTGCTTCTGCTGCTGCAACTGCTGTTTTGTTGCAGGGTGTTGCAGATGTTGCCGTTGCATGTGGTTGTTCGTATGTTTCTTTGTTTGCTTGTTTCTGTCCGGCGGCGACCGCGTCGTCGTTGTCGTCGTCGTATGTCGTCAACGTGGTGGATGTGGTTGTGGTTGTGGTTACAGTAGTGGTAGTAGTAGTCGTCGTCGTAGTCGTAGCGGTCGCCGTAGCAGTAGCAGTTGTAGTAGAAGAAGGTAGTGGTAGTAGTAGTAGTAGTAGTAGTACGTAGTACGTAGTACGTAGTACGTAGTACGTAGTACGTAGTACGTAGTACGTAGTACGTAGTACGTAGTAAGTAGTAGTAGTAGTAGTTGTTGTTGTTGTTGTCGTCGTAGTAGTAGTGGTGGCAGTGGTAGTGGTAGTGGTCGTGGTCGTGGTGCTGGTGGTGGTGGTTGTGGTGGTGGTGGTGGTGGTGGTGGTGGTAGTGGTAGTGGTGTTAGTGGTAGTGGTGGTAGTGGTAGTGGTGCTAGTAGTAGTTGTGGTAGTAGTAGTAGTAGTAGTAGTAGTAGTAGCAGCAGGAGTAGTAGTAGTAGTAGTAGTAGTAATAGTAGTAGTAGTAGTAGTAGTAGTAGTAGTAGAGGCAGCAGCCGGAGGAGGCGTGGTAGTGGTAGTGGCAGTGGTAGTGGTAGTCGTAGCAGTAGTAGTCATCGTAGTAGCAGTAGTACTTGTAGTGCATGTTGTAGTTGTAGTAGTAGTAGTAGTAGTAGGAGTAGTCGTAGTAGTCGTCATAGTGGTAGTCTTAGTGGTAGTGGTGGTAGCGGTAGTGGTGGTGGTGGTAGTGGTGGTAGTGGTAGTAGTCGTGGTAGTGGTAGTAGTCGTAGTCGTAGTAGTAGTAGTAGTAGTAGTAGTAGTAGTCGTAGTAGTCGTGGTGGTCGTGGTAGTCGTCGTAGTCGTAGTAGTCGTAGTAGTACTAGCAGTAGTACAGGCAGCACCAGGAGGAGGCGTGGTTGTGGTACTGGCAGTAGCAGTGGCAGTGGTAGCAGGAGTGGTAGTAGTAGCAGTAGTAGTCATCGTAATAGCAGTAGTGCTTGTAGTGGCAGGTAGTAGCATGTAGTAGTAGTAGTAGTAGTAGTAGTAGTAGCAGTAGTAGTAGCAGTAACAGTAGTAGTAGCGGCAGGAGCAGGAACAGAAGCAGGAGCATGAGCAGTAGCAGTAGCAGTAGGAGTAG